GGGGGTAGTAGGAGTAACACAGCTATCATCACATGCGCACTTAGATGTAAACGTCATCTTCTCCGAAAAACCAGAAGAACCTTTAAAAATCAAAAGTAAATTCAATACTTGTAGCAGGAACACAATTCCTCGTGTAAAAATTTCACTTAATAAAAATTCCGGTTTTACTTATTTTGCCCAGTGTAAACATTCATTCTCTCCCTGTAATCTAAGAGTATTCAGATACAGTTGTTTTAGTGCACCAAGAGAATAATTTCACACTCTTCTTGTCTTAATGGTTTTTGCGAATCAAGGTACACAAAGAAAAGCTGCTTCAAATCGTTTCTTTGTGATTACGAGGTGGTCGTGTCCACGGGGCGGTTGTAAAGCGGGTTTTGTTCTTACTTATTTGGGGGACGGAGCCGGAGGGTTGGGGTTGAAGGATGCCATCCCACTCGGGAAACCAAAAAGCCAAAAAAACTCATTGTGTCAAAAAGGAAAATCTTCAAAAGCTTATGTTGGATGACGTCAGTGGCCTCCAGCAGCGTCATTAGAATATGTATCCCATAATATTAACATCATCCTAACATCATTGTTCTAGACAACATAATAGGCTATCTAGACTATATTGTTCATTAGACCAATTTCGATATATTAAAATTCATACCTGACTGTGAGGCTTTTGGGAGTAAAACAAGAAAACAAATCATTTTGAGGCTCAGCAATGCTATGATTAACACATTTAGTTTTGTTTCATTTCCCCAAGCGGTAGCGTCGGAGTTAAGTACGAATATTAATGTAGAGAAATTACTCTATGAACCGATTAATTGTTAAAACAAAATAAAACGCACGTAATGATATGAAGTCGAAGACTGAGAAACCAGAACAACCTCTCATGTTATACCAGGGTACTTCTTTTTGTCACATTTAAGTTTTATCCGGACCTTCCTGAAACATAAAAAATAAAATAAAATGTACGAAACTGTCTGATTGGTTCTCTATCTCGGACTATGACGCTTTATTCACCGCTCTAGGCGTTGAATATAAAGCAAAACAAAATCGATGTCGTGAACTGGATGTTTTACAAAAGTTTCAGAGTGAGAACTTTTTGAAAATACAGCAAGAATATTCTTGTGTTAAATTAATAATTTTGAAGGTAAGAAAGACTTCATGTTGTTTAAACAACATGATTTACCATTTTTATTGTCAAGTGATTTACTGTAGCTGACTTTTCATACGCTCGCTGTTTTGTGAGCTAGGGATTTCGTCGCAGGTCCAATTTTGCTTATAAAGGGAAGTTAATTTATGGAAAAAAAGGAGAGGCAAGAATTTTCGAAAATTGTACGCGCCAGCAAGATAACAAGACAAAGAGTACTCCAGATAAACATTAACAACATTCACCTCTATCGTAGCCGCTGACAGTTGACAGGATTTGCAAGAAGCGAAAAAGAAACTTTCTCTTTGGCGGTGAGTTCGCAGAAGCAAAAAAAGGCTCTACGTTTCTTCTTAGAAGGGCGAGAGATTTAAATTTTTGACGTTTTCTTTTAAACCACTGATGCTACAGCTTACAAAAAGATCAAAACTATGATTTACCATGTTTCAATGAAGATACTGTAAAGATCTAACTTTTGCGCATCTACTAGTACTGTTTACGACTACAAGTCCACGCACGAATTCACCCGTTAATTAAACTATTCGTTTATTGTTTATATACATGTAGTAAAACAGTTATTCACCTCTGAGGCTCAGCGAATATCGTTGAATAATCATCTCTTAGGCTTCGTCTTGGGGAGTATTCAACAATATTAACTAGCTTGTTCTTCGGCGAATAACTGTTTATTACTCTTTCATTTTTACACAAGACACAAAAGATATATGAAAATGATTTGCCGTGTGACTGTTGTTGTTGGATATGGTCGGTAAACTATAGTGGAGGATCCGTCCTCGTTTACTTTAAATGAAGTGGCAGACTGGGCCAATACTTTGCCAGTACTGGCATTGTTTCTCGGGTTTTCACACATATTGGAGTAAATGTGGATGCAAAAATGATGACTTATTTGAATATTTATAGAAATATAGTTAGTGCTTTTCTAGTCCCAGTAAATGACGTCATCGTGCAAAGGACCTATACTCAATATTAACACCGCAGCAAAACGCACTGCGCATGAGCACAAAAATTTAACATCCGGTCAGCTTTTTATTTCCGGTCTAGTATATAAACCAATTGCGTAAGCATAACATTGCCGTCGCACCAAGTTTAAAAGCAAAAAGGGAGAAACAGACAAAAAAGGGGACGAAAAAAATCGCTTCATTCGAAAGCTTATATATTTTTCTAGCGTCAAACGTTTGCACCACAGGGTTATCTGTTCGCACCAACGGTGAAAATGATGTTTGAAGTTTGCAGGTCGCGAGCGCTCGACAAAACGAATTTGTTTTTACTGGCTGGCATGCCACTGGTTTGGCATAAGTTAATTTGAGAGAAGGCGACAACTAAGAAAAGAAAAACAATTCTTTGAAAGAAACCAAAATAAAGACGTCATTATTATTACACTCTTTTTTTTTTTTTTATAAGAATGTTGTTTTTCCGGCCCAGGCTGAGTATTCTTATTTTTCTGCCGATTTTAGGCTGAAAATATTCTTGTATTATTCTTAAATTAAAGCTTATGACATTTCCGTTTTAGAATTTATTGGGGTGTCAATTGTTTGGTATCTAGACCTGTATCGCGTTACATTGTGCGCGTGCTCCATCGCTTTTCGTTGCAGTCAGTTTATGTCTTTCGTGCTGAATACTGTACATATGTATTACATGTACCGTTCATCGAACTGTCATTAGCGTTGAACATTGTGCTATAGCTAGTGCAGGTTTTTTCGTTTTGTTGGCTAGTTTCGCCGTTCAGAGAAAGGAATAATTTTATGCGGTTAAGTTAAAAACATAAAATTGTATTGTATTTACAGATGTTTCAACACACAAAATTGTATTCATCCTTTTCAAAATCTCAGCCTCGGCTTTATTCTTAAAATATTCTTAAAATTTTGCAAATTTCAGCCTCGATATTCTTACAAAATATATTCTTATAAAAAAAAGAGTGTATTAACACTAAAACCAGGAAATAAAATTTTAGTCCGTTTAATAATTTTTTTATTATCAGAGAAAACAAGAACTCAAAACAAACGGTGGGCGGGATTTAATAACAACTTCAACTTTGATGACTGCAGTCAAGAACACCCGGGGTTTTCAATGCCGGGAAACTAAACATGGCTATAAATGACTTTCATTCAAGGAAATAACTATTTAATTCTTTTACATGGTTGTTCTTTGGTTGAAGACTTCAATAATTTCAGACTGTGCGGCTCGGCTGCATCTCATGCAAACACTAAACTTCCAGCTGCTAAATACTGAAAAATAACAATAAGGAGAACGTACTAAGAAAGAAAAAAGGCACTAGGAAATACAAATCTTACCGATTGTGTGGCAATGCGGAGAAAGACAAACGGCAACGGCAGAACGCTAGATACTACACCGGCGAGACGCAATTGACAACGACCCGTGCATAAAATTAGCAATGAAATATAAATTCTACAGGCTCTCAAGGGAACCATAAACTGACCATAAGTATGAAAAGGCACTGATTATAAAAGTTCCGAGAGAACGATAACTGTCCTTAACAGTTATTTTGCACCAGCATTTATCTAAGCCTGTCTTTTACTTGATGAATTGGTTAATTTATATCAACCGCTTCCTTTAGCTAATGTATGCATCAATGTAAATTCAAGTCAATCTACTAATAACCCGAGATCGCTTTAAATCCTTAAGAAAGACAAAACAGTTCATTTTCTGTCACAGGCAACTCTCTTCACGAGATCTTCCCACGGCTCGGCCAATCTCGTGCATTGTAGATCCTCATAATATCACCAGAAAAGTGGCGAACTGTCTTTCGTAGGAGCACGTCATCCATTGCCCCCTTTTCCCCACAATTATTCTGGCGTTGAGTAAGATTTTATGGGTTGGGAAAATTAACCTTCAGTAATTTTTGTCTGTAAATAGTATGAAGAATCCAATATGCCGAATACTTACATTGTGACAGGAATTGCATTGAACCATGGCTGTTTGTAATTACTAACTTTTTCTTACTTTTACTGCGTTGAAGCATGAAATCTAATTATCTTAATTAGTGGTTAGATGATTTTATTTTCTTTTAATATATCGTCTCGCGCATTGAGTTTAGGTTGCATGTTACTAGCCTTGAGTAACCTTTATTTACAAGGCATGATCACAGGCTAGGCTTCAAACGCACTTACTTGAAGTTTTGTTCATGGTTACTAAATGGGAAAAGTGACTAATTGTAACGCGCTTTTGATTATTCTTATAGAAAAAGCTCAAGCTAGTAATAACATAACCTTCATAATGTTGTTGACCAGAACTATTCATGCACAGAAAAACATTCCCCCACCAGGGAACTAACTCTGAGCCCCGTTCCTCCCTGTTACAAAGAAAGCCACCACCAAGCCCCAGTTGTCTAACAGCTGGAAAGCACGATCTGCTGTAGAAACCAATATTCAGGGATTAAATATTAAGAAATCAAATTGCGCTATTCATTGGATAAGAATACTTGGTGGATATAGCGTTGACGGCTTTTGAAAAGCTCGGGTCAAACTTGCCCTTTGACTGTGAATTTCATGATAATTGTTTTCTTATGGACGCTTTATTGAATCTACATATTTGATATAATTCTAAGGACGAATTTTGTCCTTAGGTTTTCTGTTTTCTACTATACCCGCAAACTACTTCTTTTGTAATAAAATCATAACTGAATCTACATCTACATTTATTAAGTTGATAAAATCTTGTAAGACATCACATCAACTAAACGAAAAAGGACGATATATAATAATTTCAAGGCATAGCGAATTAACGATATCTGACTGTTCTAGATTCATTAAGTTTGCTAAATTGTTTTTGCTACTGAAAGAGGTAGTTTCTCTTTTATAAGCAAAATAGTCTCCTTATTCAATGCTAATTTCTAGGACTGCGGCCTGGATACTTCTTCAATCATTATACGGGACACGAAAATCCAGCCGGTGTAAGCATTGCCCAAATTATAGCCACTACACTGGCCTACCCATAATTCCACCCGAACCGTTCCTTTGGGAATGTTTTCGCAGTAGCCCTCAAATGACCGATGGTGAAGAAGGTCTGGGATACCCCCAGCCCAGTCACTGTACACACCAGCCTCGATCGTCATTGGTCCACTGCATTCATTTCCATTGAATTTGAAGTACAATCGAATACACTTCGCATCACTATACATTCTCACATTTCCCTGGTATGAGACTTTAAGAGCTGTGTCGGCCTTCAATTTGTTGAAGCTGCAATCCTGAAATAAAACCAAAAGGAATGAACTGCTTTCTATTATTATATTTTTAATACGGCTTTGGCAGGGAGCGGATTTAAAAGTTGAGAGTGGTAGGAAAATTCATATAGCTGTAAATTTTCGTTAAAAAGTCTTTGGAAAAACCCGAGTTGTTGTTCTCATTCAGCCCGTCCCTTGTTTACCTTAATCTTTCCGTTATCAGTATCGCTAGCTGATTTCCACACACATTGTTTCCAGTTGATCTGTGGTACTACACTTGCTTGACTTGCTTTGGCGCCTTCTCCTTTCTCTCCTTTGTCTCCTTTTCTTCCTTGATTTCCCACAATGCCTGGCTCTTCTTTCAATCCCACAAGTCCCTGTTCACCTTTTATTCCCTTGATTCCTGGCGGTCCACTCTTCCCGAGAGGCCCTTCGCGCTCTCTGTCTCCTCGTGGACCCGGCGTTCCTTGTGATCCTTTATCACCGTTTTGTCCTTTTGCACCTTCCCTTCCCTGAGGTCCTTGCGGCCCCGGAACACCGGGCATTCCCGGCATGCCGTTTGATCCCGGTATGCCGGGAAAACCATGACCCAGTATAGATTTCTGAAAATATAGATGCCCTAGATTAAAAGACGTCGGGGGAGGGGGGTGCGAGCTGGGCCTTTTTGGTCTATTTGTTTTTCTAAAGAGAGTGTTTTCACATGTGACGTCACGGCAACTATATTAGTTTTCTAAATCGCGGGACGGCGGCTATGTTGGTGCTCCACAATAATTATGTGGAAGTTGGATTTTTTTCTTATGTAAATGCTTTCTTTTGTTCCAATAAATATGCTTAGATGGTTGCCACGTGGGTGAAAACGCACTATACCTTGTTTTTAGACCTTGATGAAATTGAAAAAAAAAACAGTTGTGGCATGTGCTTGAAAACAGCGATTTCTGAAAGGATTACAGAATATTTCCCCACGACTGAAGGTCAGTTTTCTGCAAGTTTCGATCAAACATTCGTGACAATGAACTAATTCATTCCTCTTTACCCTAAAAGCTAATAGTCACCCACCCGTCGCTTCAATTCTTTTGTAAGAGCACAATAGCCGGTGATGAAGAAAGTGTGATATCGAAAAACTGTCGTTTGAATTCCTAGTCTGTGAAGCAGGGACAAAAAGGTCGACAGTTGAAATATGTTAACTGTATTACGTGTTATTATGTGTGTATCTTTGCGGTTTATGCGATAGGATATTAACTTGTGCAAGTTAAAGATGGCACACGAATAACTGTGCAAAAGCCTGTACATGTATTTGAATGGTAGCAATGAGTCAAGTGGCAGGCCGTTCCCGTGCAACGTTATTGTGAACTTTCTTTTGAAAGGTATAATAGTTCTCTCTTCTTACCTCGCATAAATCTTTTAACTTTGCGGTGTTTTGTTGCTGAGGTGAGGTAGTTGTTCCCAGTGAACCCCCAGAAAAACAGAGAATCAGTGAAACAGCGAAACACTGAACCATGATGAGAGCTGAACAAAAACACTGCGATTAATGAGATCAACGCTACGTGCGCGTCAGTTAAATAGGGAATGTTTCAAGTTAATCTTTTTAGCGTTTGTTTGTTTGTTTATATCCTTTCTTTTGTTCTTGCGTCATTAATCTTTTCAGCCTCTTATTTTGTGCTCGTGTACCCGGGAGCAGAGTGCTGAAATTAGGCGAACAATAGAGATATTACCTGTTTTATAATACGTACTTTTTGATTTTCTTACTTTTGATTGTTTTTTTTTGTAGGTGTTCTGTTTTGTTTTTTCTCTCTAACCAAGTTGTTATAAATAACGTTTTAAGTGCGTGTCGTTATAAAGATCGCTCTACACATTTGTCTTTTTAAAGTACAAAAGTATAATTTTGATCTAACATTAGCACGGCAAGCCTAAACTTGTATGTTTTCTTTCGGGAGCCTTCATGGTATGTTATCTTGAATACACGTACATGCATACTTAGAAACTGAAGTAGGTGACCGTCAAGCAGCGTGTATTTAAATTTTGTTTCCAACGAAATTTATAGCCCTTACTCTTTGCAGAGGTTTAGTGGTCGCTTGCTAGCCAAACCTTGAATAATGAGATTGACTTGTAAGTAATGCATACTGTAGTAATTTATGTTGTTTCCTTGTTCTTTTTGCATGCTAGTAACCTTTAAAGCTTCTTGCTAAATACTCGAATGTTTTTAAGAGTTGGTTCACCTTCAGTTTAACAAGTCCAAACGGGTCTTTTGTTTCTACATGTTAATCTTTTAAGAGTGTGTCCATGAGAAAACCAGGCAGAACCAGGCAGGGGGTGATAATGCTCAAATCACCGATTTCGCTCAAACTTGGCACAAATGTTAGGTATCAGGAGTTAGCTTATGTGACAGAATGTTAGGTCAAAATATTAAATTCCCTGGGAGATCCGGGCTCCCCCTGTAAAAATCGCCATTTTGCCCGTTTATGCATAATTAATTAGCTAACTTTACGATGCCAGTGCAACAAACAGAAAAGCCACCTGGAACTTAAATGCACTGAGAGATAATCAGACATCATAAGACTTTAAGCACAATAAACTGTTTAAAGTCACCGATTCGATTTCCCCCCTCTCAGCCCCCTTAAGTTGGGTCATCATTTCCAAGTTTTGAGTAAGACGTAAAATTAGGGTATTGTATTCCGAAATATCTCTGATGAGCAACCGCTTATCTTTATAACTTTTGCATGAGTAGTTAAAGCCATCACTTAAGTTAAGAAAAAGATCATAAAAAGTTTGGGCAATTCACTTTCTTCCATGTGTTGACAAAAACTGTTTATGTGACTGAATGACTTTTGCATATTTCATCAAAATTCAGGCCCTCACAATATTCGTGTGTTTGCCTTTGAATGAGGAGAAATCGAACAAAAAAACTCATCAGACAATGATTTAACGTTAATAAGGGTAAAATCATAAAAATTGTTGTGCAAGAAACGCTAACGATGATTTTTGATAGCTATATACGCGATCTTTTCAAGTAAAAACAACATACAAAGATTTAATTCACAGTTCTACTTACTTTAACAATTTCGCCCTAAAAACAATAATAAACGATCAATAAAATCCATATACGTATCTCTTAGATGTCTCAACTGCTAGTTTGTGCCCGCCTTGATTTGTTCTTCATGCCACCTTCGATGTCCAGTTCAGGGTAGTTCAGCGTCGTGACTCGCTGTACGACTAAAATTCCATAGCCATCAGTTTACGCAGCAAAATCCAAATCAAGTTGTTTTAGGACAAAACAATACGAAAGGTAGAAAGCCGATTCTTAACCCATTGAAAGAATTATTTCTGCCACTGTTGTAGCTCAATTCACATGTTGCAAACGTCCGACATCTTTGACATTAAATGGAGCCCGCATTTTTAAGCAGCGGTTGGCACCATACGGAAAGATCGTATCGGGAGTCAGGAACCAGGAGCCAGGAGCCAGGAGCCAGGAGCCAGGAGCCAGAGTTCAGTGAACAAAATGACTTTCCGACATTCTCTGAGATTATTTTATTGTTATTGTATGTTGATAAATAATTTAGAATTCCAAATCTATTGGCAACTTTATTCAGACCATGATTATAAATGATCCCATGTCTTCTCAAACTCGGAGATAGAAGTCGTTTTGTCTTCGTGTTTTGGAAAAAACTATCTTTTCTATTTTAGTTGCACATGAAATAGAAGCGAAGTAAAGCCGGATGTTGGTGCAGACCAGTTCAAAGAGACAAATAAAGCGTGAGACACGTCAAGATTGGCTTGCGACAAGAATTCTATTTTTTTTTTTCGTACTGGAGTCCCTTCTCCCCGGGGGAGTGTCCAAATTGCGTACAAATGCCCTACCCTGCTGGCACCAGATTTGACTGTCATAAACAGTGAATTTTTTTATCTCGCACGGTCTTTTGGGGGTCTTATAAAGCCTAACTGTGGCACTAATGTTCCCAAGTAGAATTCAAAATACACCACACTTTCACATTGAGTTAGATATTTTTCTCAAACAACCGCTTCCATATGTTTAACACCCTTCCCACATTCCCTCCGAGAGATACTTCAACTGTAATACTTCGATTTCAAATTTCTCACCCTACCCAGGTAAGGTATATTTTCTCGTCCTAGACATCGATCTCGGAAGGGCCAAAACCAGTTTAGTGCCCAGCCGTCTGCCGTGCTGAGGCAGGCAGATGTTGAATTATGGACAGACACGACAATTAAGTTACAGACATTTGATGTCCCGGTCCGTGCGTGGTCGGAAGACACCCAGTAAATAATGCCCATGGGGTTGCCCAAGGAAAATTTGGTTTTACGAGAGTCGAACTGCAGGAGGTCTTTAACGAGGAAAAGTGCGGACACATCTACTTTTTGGGGTGAATGTACTGCACTTTCTCACCCTACCCAGGTAAGGTCAATTTTCTCGTCCTAGACATCGATCTCGGAAGGGCCAAAACCAGTTTAGTGCCCAGCCGTCTGCCGTGCTGAGGCAGGCAGATGTTGAATTATGGACAGACACGACAATTAAGTTACAGACATTTGATGTCCCGGTCCGTGCGTGGTCGGAAGACACCCAGTAAATAATGCCCATGGCGTTGCCCAAGGAAAATTTGGTTTTACGAGAGTCGAACTGCAGGAGGTCTTTAACGAGGAAAAGTGCGGACACATCTACTTTTTGGAGTGAATGTACTGCATGCAATTTTTAAGTCACAATATACTATAGATAAATCTAATTTGTTTCTAAAGTTCCTCTCATACTCCGAGTAGCTTAGGACATACAGGGAACGCAGAGATCAGACCATTGCATCACGGAAAATTCTCAATAAGACTGTCATCGTAAAAAGTGGTCGCGGTCGCTTACTGGATGTGGATGTGTTCGTTTACAGGAGGTTCCAACTACAAGCGCTTTGACTTGATAATATATTTGGTGTGTTGAATAAGTGATCGCTTATTAGGAAGTGGTCACTTAAGTTGGGTGGTCGCACGTAGGTTCGACTGTGCCTCGTTAAGCGAAAATTTGTTAAAATGTAAGAGAAATCAGGGGCACCCAACGGGAAATTTTGAGAAAAAGACCTAAAAACAACAACAAAGCGTGAATAAAGTTTTCTGAGACTATTTTAAGCATTTTGGGAGATTGCTGGAAAAAAATTATCTGTTCCTCACTCCCAGCAAGACTGATGGAAGAGTTCCCAGCCAGCAACCTTACAACCTGCAACCTGACTTACTGGGAAGTTTCATAGGGCACAATTCAGATCTTGAGTGGTAAGCAACTCATACAAGTAACCCGTAGCAGCTATTCTAGACTTCAAATCCCCTCTGACACCCTGAATTATCTTTTTCCCAGCAACACTTTCCTTCCAAGGACTATTATTTCTTCCACATTTCCCAGCCAGCAACAATTTGCATGAAGAACAGATATTTTGAGGAACAGATCCGTTGGGTGCCCCTGAGAAATCCTAAAATTGTAATACAGTGGAAGCTCTCGTACGAGGGCGCCCTCGGGACGAGAAAAAGGTGTCCTTAACTGGTTCTGGCCGCTTACAAGAATGAATCTCATATGCAGCATAGTTATGCAAGTGGAAATCAGCCACTTTAAAAGCGGTGTAAAGGTTAGATAGCCGCTTACGGAAGCTCCTCCCAGCTACAAATTAACACTGGTAATAGCAAAAAACTGTTTTTTAGTGTATGGTTACGCTGATGTTCTTGCCTTTTTGTAATTTAGGTAAAAGCATACAATTCAGTTTTTATTTTCAAGTGTAACCGGACGAGTATGTGAAAAAACGGTAACTCTGAAATGGATATATAAGAATGATTCATAACAGTGACAAACAGCCATATGACTGTGGACATGATATGAAAAAAAAAACAACAACAACATTCAGAGGCGGATAAGATTTCTTTCGAGTATCTGCTTAGGAGAGCTTTAAATCAAAGCTAACATCTAATTCGCCGGTAAACCCTTTAAGTGTCCGCGGCCGCCTACGGGAATGTAAAAATACAGAGTTTGTGTGGGAGTTGAAACGGGATTTTGTGATGGCGGTCGTAAGTAGAGCTATTCGCTATATACGAGAGTGTCCGTTAAGAAAACTTAATCTAGTGTATGAATCCGCAAATGACAGCTTAAATGAGAAGTGAATATTTAACAATTAGCCAAAGAAGTCTAGCCGACTTTTTTTGTAATGTATTAGTGCCCCTTTTGGGTCTTTTGTATTCCTCAGAAGTTTTTCGTCAACACGTTTATAAACGGTTATTATTATATTTTTGTAGTCAATAATATACCCAGATACAGATACCAACCTGTATAGTTGTAAGACTACGAGGATTAAAATACAACTAAGTAAGTAATTATACGCAGTGGCAAGGCATTAATTGTCTAAAAATTGCATGGCACGGTCTGAATACAAAAAGGGCTATTATGGACCATTATTATCATGGTAATTAATGTCAACATCGAATAAACTCAAAATTTGAAGTAACACGACTTTCACAACCTATTTT